TCCAATATACAATCAGATCTTAGCAGATAAGCAGGTTTGAGCCGCCTGCTTAATACTTGGATGGGAGGCTGCCTGGAAATTGCAGGCGTTCTCCGGCCTCGGCTAGGGTGCCAGATGGCAGCACAGCAAGAGATGCTCGAAGCTGTCTGTTCAGAGCTTTGGGTTATCCTTCGATGCGTGTGTGGGATTCCTTTGGGCATTCTGTTTGCCTCATTATTAGAAGTGGCCAAACATCCAAATGCAGGTTCCTTCCTGAAAAATTATCAACACCAATGCATGCTTTCCTAGGCAAAGGGCCCTATTATTCTATAGCAGCGGTCGGGAACCTATGGCTCGCGAGCCATATATGGCTCTTCCGGTGACGGCATATGGCTCCCAGACAATTTTGAGTTGAAAAAAATAATAATAATAAAAAAATAAAAATAAAATCAGTTTGGAACTGATTTTAAAATACTTGTGATATTGCTTAATAATACTGTGTCATTTTAAAGTAAACAGAAATTAGTTTTAAAGATAACATTTCTCGGGTCACGGGTCCCGTGACCAGAAGTCGCATTAAAAGTAAGACATTTAATTTATTATACGTTAAAAATACTATATGGCTCTCATTGAAATATATTTAGAAATATTTGGCTTTTATGGCTCTCCCAGTCAAAAAGGTTCCCGACCCCTGCTCTATAGTATACACGGTTACGTATTTCATGTCATAAAGCCACGCTCATGACAAAGGTTAAAACAAATATATATATTTTTCGAGCTTGTAAACCACCATCAACAATCTCCGTTTTCAAACCTCTCGTTTTGGTATACGACTTATTGTTGCTGGCAACCTGACCAATCTGGTTTCACAGCTTGAGAGTGTACACAATGTCGACAGTACGGTAGTCATTTGCCACGTGTCGGCAGGCTACGTACGGGGCAAAAGTTCAACATGGAGCACTCTTCAACGCTGACCAGTTGTAATTGAAGTTTTAGGAGTACCCACACTTTATCCCACCAAGGTTGACTGTGGTGCATCCATTTATTTTACTGGGCAGACCGAGCCGAGGCGTTTTCTAAAACGTGCCCATCGTTTCAAATACCGCGCCAGGAGGTCCAACCGGCGACCTCTGGAGTTCAAGTCCAGTTTGCTGACCGTTACATCACGGCAATAACCCGAGGGTGAAATGAGAATTCAACCTGAAGAGCCATGGTTTCAGCTCTGTAGCTTGACCTTGTTTCAAGGGGGGCATACCAAAAACTCAGGAGGGGGTGGATGGGTGGTTTTGGGGGGGCACGACAGTCAACGTGAAACCGTTAAAAGTTGAAACAGAATGAGTAACAATGTGCGACATTTCAAGCAACGGTTCCTCTTTTCATGAACAAGAAATGTCACCCTATCATGCGTTTTCCTCTCTAGCCCCCCCCCCCCCCCCCATGGTTTTGCGGATGTAGTCACCATTTCTACAGGCTCATGGCTTGGGCCATGTTCACGTGGCCAGCAAATCAAGCACGGCACGGAGAGAGACAGGCCTCGCTCCAGTGACCCGTGCAGGTCACACGAGGAGGCGGTGAATGCTCGAGGCCCCAGCGGATAGGGTTTCCGCCAACTCATGACTCACGGTTTCATGTGGACGGATGCCATTAAAGCCGAGTGGGTGTGTGTGCGCGTGCACGAGTGTAGGCGAATGAAGGCAAGGAGCTATAACCTGATCGGGTGGCAGGTGATTGTGTGGCCGTGGTTAGAGGATACCCACTCTCTGCCACTCGCTTACAACCCTCCCAGTGGTGCTTTCTAAGCTGCGGCTGCGAACGGAGGTCTGATGCCACCTCTCAAATGATCGTTTAAAAAGGTAAACACATGTACAAGTATAGCCCTTTGTCGTTCCACCAATTCACTGCTGGATTACGCATTCCCATGCGGTGCGGGTCGTAGGGGTTGCTTGACCATATTTCACCGTACCAGTCAATGTGGGCTGTCGAAGGCGGAGGCGCATATGTCTGGCAGTAAAACATTTTGCTCCAGTGCCCTTTGATGTCCCCCTGACAGCCCCGAAAATACTATGACAACCTGTTTGTGTATGGTAGTCACCCATCCAAACACTATTCAGGGTCAAGCCAGCTTAGTTGCCGACACATGACAAGATTGGGCACATTGCGGGCACTTTGGTCGTATGCAAATATATGACCACAAGTCAAATCAAGTTCATTTGTTTCACTGGGGTGAGAACTCAAGGGAGCGAGATAGTTTCATTTTTTAATGACATCAAGTCACAATAATATTCAAAGCAAAATAAATAAAAGAAGGTAGATCAATGAAGCAAATAGAAATCGCAGCAAAAACAACGGTCAGGTGAGAAATCGAAGATATTACACAAACATGAATCTATGTTAAGCAATACATTATCTGTAGCACAAATCGCCTCGGGCAGATTATGTTTAGACTGCTCATAGGGTATGCAATGAAGTTAGAGAAACATTAACGAGACATAGGGTGACCGTTGTACAAATATGTAAACCGACAAGGATGCGAGTTAAATTCAACTGCAAGTGAAGTTGTCATAAAGAAATTAATGATGGGAACGTAACCATAAACATTTTTGTCAGTGATGAATTTCCAGGTTTTTGGGGGGCATTAGCGGGTGAAATGAGTGAGAACCACGAGAGTTGTGTGTCCTCAGTACAGTGCACTTGTTGAGTGCTGCGGAGCATCTAACATTGGGAGTCTTTGGTCGTGAAAAAACCAGACGACTTTGGGGTCCGAGTTAGTGTGTGTGTGTATGCACTACAATGATCTTGGCCCAAATCATCGCAGACCTGTCAAGCTCCTTATTAATGCCTACCTTATTACAGACCAATTCAGAACTTATTGGTCACCCCACCGTGCCCTTATAAATCTCAACGTTCATCCTACAAAGTCCCATCACAAGGGTGAAACACAAACAAACAAAAAATGTTTACTCAATTTCTCTGTACAAGAATTACGGGTAAACCATATGGGTTAACATGTATGTAATCGCCCTCCCAGTTTTGATAGTTAATCAACGATTCATGAATTAGATTCGGTGTTTTTCATGTTTTAGACAAAATACAGAAACTGGAGGTGGATGAGTTCTTTGAATCAGCCCCACGCCACCCGCCTTCGCGTAACGTGTGGACACATGCCAACTTCGCATTCATTGGTTACCGAGTTGGAACATTGACAAAATAAACACACGGTGCATTGGGGATGCGAAAATTGTGCACCGCAAAGCACACCCATTCAATGCAAACTTTCCATGAGCAATTTGTGCAACCATCACCGATTTTCCCATAGGCGTTTTAGTTTTCTCACAACGAAGTGTTGTTTAACCGTGAAAATGTTTAACAACCTTACAGATTGATAAAAACATACCGCATACTATAATTTAAAAAAGATACCATTTAAGAATAAGGCAAATGCTGCACTGTGATGACATGACCTTGTTATTATACGTTAAATATATTTAGGACGCAGTGAATGAGAAGAAGAGACTTGCACAGCAGAACTGTCAACATTAAACCCCAGCATGGAACTGTCGCGTGCACTCCACGTGGCTCTTTGTCTGTGGAGGCATGGCCAACATGAATCACATGCACACCCAAATTCGCACTTAACGCAATACGGGAGCGTATTAGCAGTGCTTTTGTGAAAGAAAAGTTACAAAATAATAAAAGCATCGACTTGGGTGGAGATGTAATTCACAGCCTAATTACTTCGTTACAAGAAAATGTCACGGGTCATAGGGTGTGGCAATGACCTTGCAAAATCGATAGAAACACATTATTGTATGTCCTTAAAAAAAACGTATCCGACCGATGCAATCAGGCTTACAGAGGAGGCATTAAAAAGCAGTGAATGAACTTCAGGTGACAAAATTCGAGCCAAAATTACCGTATACCGTAAATATAATTAATCGACTCTTCGCCAACCGGCACCGATCAAAGTGGCGAAGTTATGATCCAACAACTGTTACGACCGACAACACGGGGGAGCTTGCGACATGGAACTGCAACACAACACATCGCATCAAACAACTTGTGCCCTCGTGCGTTTTAGTGATCGATGCGACGCTTTTTACCTGACGCCGTGTTGGACTCGTCTGCGCCGCGCGGAGAAATCGCTTCCTGAAAAAATAAAAATTGAACGCTGCTCATTTGCACTGCGAACACTGACCGCATGCTACAATGTGACGCATCTTCTCCCTTACAACTTGAATAGCGCTCTTCCTTGCCGACCGATTGGCGTTTTGTTCCCCCCCATTGGGCGTGGGCAGCAAACGGGATACAAAAAAGCATCCACAAATAGTATTGATCAGTGTGTACATAAGCATTACAGTATACATAGAATTTTTAATTACATCCTATACATTTTATTTGTATTACAATTAACCAATTCTAAAGTGATTAAACACGCTTGTATATGATTCACTATTTGCATATTATTTACAATTAAACCATACATTTTTAAAAATATATTTTCAAATGTAGTACCGACAAAGTGAACTTAAGATTGCCAAGTGATGCATTACTCAAACTAGTTGCATTCGATATATTGGGCGCTATTCTCTATGTACAAGATGATAAAGTACAGCACTTTTGTGTGAAAATAAACAACAAAAATATGTTAATGAACCCACCTAATCTCAGGTACATTTTCGAATTGATAGCGACTCCTTTAAAACCAATCGATAAGTATCTCGTACCAAATTAAAATTCCAAAATTATTTCGAATTTTCTTTATTTTAGAACCACTTTAACAATTATGGTTTATTTGTTAGTACAACACTCGTTCACCGAAGCTAAATGAAGGAACTTTGTCGACCGCTCCCTAAAAGCAATCCGCAAACGTACGAGGCAATTGAAGTGCGGGGCCACGTGGGGGCGGCACTGGGCCGCGCCATTTTTAAAACCCCACCGTTGACCTTTGACCGCCGGAAATAGTTGAATCGAAACTTAACAACAATATTTTTTCTTAAAAAAAACAACGCTATATTATTTACTTGCACCAACACACACAAACAACAACGATCGCTTAATTGCAGCCAACTTACGGGAGTAGAAAACTAGCGGTGTAATTTTAAAGTGTATCGGACCCACCGCTGTTTATAAGCCACCGTTGCCGTAGAGACGGAGCACGCGGATGCAGCCGGGGTGAGTTTGCCATGAATCCGAGAACCAATTTCATTGACACGACGAGAGTTACTAAACAAATATCGTCGTCAATATCGCCACGTCACTATGACCGGGGGTTGGTGGTGGTTCGCCCCTTATAATCACTCGCTTCACGAGTGTTTATGTGAATCATTTGCGAGTCTGACAACGCGCGTTCGTATCCACGATTCGCGGAGCCGAGAGACGAAAACTGCAGTACAATTTGGGTTTTTTGTTGTTGCACTTTCCTTGATGATGATTATTATTATTGAGAGTATTGTTGTACCTGTAACGTACCGACTCGGCATTTGCTCAATCTCGAAGACGGAGAGAGAGAGAGAGCACGACTCAGGCGCGATGGGAGTGTGAAAGCAGTCTAAGCTAAAACTTGTTTTATATTTTAACAGGTAAAGCCAACGGAGCTGTATAGCTATTTTTTCAGAATTGACCCGACCAACACAAATGATAGCTCAACGAAGTGGCTTATCATCACGTGGAAATGTATCACAGCCAAATAATCTCAATAAATAATCTAAACTCATTATTAGAAAAAGCCCGGCGTTCCGTTTGTCCGTTAACTAAATTATTAAGAGCCTTTCAGAAGGTCTGAATCAAAAAGTTAAAGAAAATATCATCCATAATAGAGGCTGTCGCCTGATGTAGCCAGTTGTAATTACTGGCGAAACGTCGTACTTAGATTGTAAATGTTGCGGCTTGGCTCTCCAACACAACGGGTGTGCTGTACTAGTACACTACACCATACACTACACTACTCTACACTATACACTACTCTACACTATACACTACACACTAGTGCTGTACTAGTACACTACACTATACACTACTCTACACTACACTATACACTACTATACACTATACACTAGTGCTGTACTAGTACACTATACACTACACTACTATACACTAGTGCTGTACTAGTGACGAATTTTCCACGTTCTGTTTACGTGACAACCCTTGCTAGCTGGTTGTGTCGGGTGGTGGCGGGTTTTAACGACACATTTATATATTTACGCGATCTAACCCAAAACACCTCTATTATGGAGGTTTACAACAATTGTCGACCCCCCCCCCCAAAAAAAAAGTACATTTCTTTCGTAGGCAAATATGCCTACACACTCTACATAGAGTCCAGATGTATTTTGTAGGCATATATGCCTATATCTGTCTCCCCCCCCCCCTGTTTAGACATGTCACTGTCTGACTGGTCGGTTTAGTTTGGCCAGGGCTGCTGGTGAACAGGCGTTCACCAGCAGCATTCACAGAATTTCAGGAAATCCAAGAGGACCCATTTGACGCTAAACTTAACGTTTATCTGATGAACTTTTAAGGTACAGCCCGTTAGTATCTGCACACATGGGGGGGGGGGGGGTGGAAGAAGAAGAGGACATCAGTGGAGCCGCGAAGCACCGAGAAGCCCTCCTCTGTATTCGCTAGAACACGGCGGTCGTAGCCTGCCGAAATTCTCGTGTTTCTAAATGTGGAGGGGAAAACCGGAGGACCCGGAGAAAATAAATCTACGCGACCACAGGGAGGGTATGCAATGGAGAGCGTAATACGTGTGGAAGCAAACCAGAGTACCCAGAGAAAACCGATGCGAGCGATAGGACAACACTCTATCCCGTACAGCTGGAACAGAGACCGGCCACATTTTTGCTGTACTGGGTTCTCCTGGCACCACCTTGACGCCCACGGGAAGAGAGTTTCGTAATATGTGTGTGATCCACCGACCCTCGCCTCCACGGTGCCCCCATTTAATGAAAGAGAGTTAATGAGATGGTTTTAAAAATATATAAAGCTTAAGACAATGTATCGGGGTTGAATCTTCAGAGGTCGATCAAATAGGTGCCGATTTCGATTTAAAGCTTTCGTGACTGCAGGGATTCATCTTCTTGGTTCTTTCGGTAAAGTCACGTAGAAGGGAAGTAATAAAATAATACAAATTAAACATAATAAAATAATTCTCACGACGTTTCGTCCACAACGCAAGCAGCCGTCCTCAGGTGAAGACCAGGTCTGTCGAGGCGACAGCGTCTGAATGACGGCTGCTTGCGTTGTGGCCGAAACGTCGTGAGAATTATTTTATTATGTTTTATTTTTATTATTTTATTACTTCCCTTCTACGTGACTTTACCGAAAGAACCAAGAAGAAGGTGCCGATTTGTTGGGTGTCACCATTGCTCGTCGTGTTGGTAGACTTGCTGCTGCCATACGATTGTGGAGGTAATGCGTGTCAATTCTCGTTTGAGTGTGGAACCACTTTGGCTTTGAGTTTTGGCCAATGCTGGTCCACAGATGGTCATCATCATCAGTGGGCCCAGTGCAGAGAATGTAAAAAATTCAAGCGGCGGGTTTTGTTGGAAGTCACGGAATGATAAACTTTTTCACTTTACAACAGAATCGAGAACAGGGAAGATGAGGTTCACATTTCACATCTCATCATCATGTCACTGTCAACCCACTGCTGAGTGAAGGCCTCCCCATGTCACCACCATCCCTCATGGTGCTACGATGCCACAATCCATCTCCATTGCAGTCTTACTCTCGTGCGTGTTCTCGTTATTGGCTGCCATGCATTGTCCACGTCTACAGTGTCCTCGCTCTGATGTGCAGCTGTGGTTCATTGAATGAATGAGGTGAATCAACGAATGAGCGAGTGAACGAATGTCCATTGCTTATGAAACAGGAAGTACTCATTGAAATTCGTTATTGCTGTTGGCAAGATGGATTTGAGTTATCAATTGTCTCTAAAAACTACAAAAGGGCCAGTCGGCATGAAATTTTCGTAACAAATTAAAGTAGGAAATTTGAGCTGTGACAAGGACCTGCTGATCATGATGATAATATCATCAGGACTAATGTGCACTTTGCATCAAACAAGGTGTCTGTTATGTCCTTTTGCGGGAGTAAAATTGTCATCTCCTTGAAAACTGGTGGCTCATTGGCATGCACGACAAACACCAGACTTCACAGCCACACGCGTTGTTATTCAGGGCTTAATTTACATTACTAGTTTGTTTTGGGAAGTCGAGTATGTTAATCATATATTTTTTCCCTTCGACTGTTATGCTTCTGTTGTGCTGTTCGTTCAATATCAGGGTAACCCAAGTTTGTTGCGTCTCCGTGATGGATGGTGCAAGCTGCTCATAAAATGAATCCAGCTAAGTTAGGGAAATGGACACTGAAACTTTGCAGCCATGAGATTTCTATCAATCCACCAATTTCCACGCAGTCTTTTTAGCGCCAGAGAAAAATTGATTGCATACGTATGCTCTCAGTTCTATAAATCCTCTTCGCTAACAGCTGCACTGCTTTGTAAATAATGCTCTTGCACGTATTGTGGGTTAGTGTGTATACGGAGCCATCAATTATATGTCAGGTTAGCTTACCATGTTATAGTCTCGATGGAAAGGCTTTTTCGACCTCTCTCGTGAATATTATAATTTAACTGTTATGACGTCTCTGTAAGCATGGCTGCCTTAAAACTCCCCATGATTTTGCATACAACTCTTAAAATGATGCCTCAAAGTGAATAATAAGCAATGGCAGAAACTCACACTGCATTTCCTGAGGTTCCACTTATCCTTCACTTTTCGATTTAAAGCTTTCGTGACTGCAGGGATTCATCTTCTTGGTTCTTTCGGTAAAGTCACGTAGAAAGGAAATAATAAAATAATAAAAATAAACATAATAAAATACAATTCTCACGACGTTTCGTCTTTCCGACAGACCTGTCCGTCACCTGAGGACGGCTGCTTGCGTTGTAGCTGAAACGTCGTGAGAATTGTATTTTATTATGTTTTATTTTTATTATTTTATTATTTCGGCTATTGACAAATGTGACGGTCAAAACTAGACCAATTTTTTTTTTACTTATTGTTAAATTGAAATGTGGCCTCCAAATCCTGACAATTTATCGAATCACAGGAACTGAGAGGGGCAAGGGGTGGAGAGAGATTGGCTGGAGAGCCATCCCTATATATTTAGCTTTATACTCCGTTTGCTATCACGGATCGATATCCAATTCAACCACTTGATTGTCGCGTCATCGAGTTCAATCAACCTTTTCATTCCACCTTCGAGCTGCCGTAAGGGCAGTCAACAATGTGGACGTCTGTTTGTTGGGCATCTCCACATGCCACCTCTGAGATAAAAAAAAAAACAGGACATGTCATGGCAAGACGAATATATCGCAATACCGAATGAGGAGTGAACTCATTTCTTTAAAACTGCTTTTTGTGTTTAGTTTCTTGTCCTTCCCCAGCACTTCCGATAAGCATGGTTGTCGACGTACGGTGCGAAGGAAGTTTTTCTTTCTTTCAATTTTTTCAGTTTTCATTTATTTGGAATAGCCCTGTGAGCCATTTGGCTCTTGAATCGGGTGCAACCGCAACAAACAAAAACATGAACTTGACTGGGCGAGTTCAACATACACACATACAAACACGTAAATACATTGTCGTGTGCGATGTATGACGAGCAGCTGACAACCGGTATTTTTAACGTCTCTAGCCCAGCTTAAATATACGCTGCCAAGCTTGGTGGTGTTCATTCAGACGCTGTCTTTCCGACAGCCCTGTTCTTCACCTGAGGACGGCTGCTTGCGTTGTGGCCGAAACGTCGTGAGAATTGTATTTTATTATGTATTATTTTTATTATTTTATTATTTCCCTTCTACGTGACTTTACCGAAAGAACCAAGAAGATGTCTCGGGGAGACATTTCTTTTTTCCCAGGAGAGCCACCTCACCAATAGGATGTCCCGGCAAAGCCAGGTTTAAAGGTGGCGACTTCTAAGCTGCGTACGCAGCTGCAAAGGTGCAACATCAGCGTGTCGCTTCAACGCAATGGCATCTCCCCTGTTTGTTGTTCTGCAGTCGAAGCCACGGCGATGGACGATGAGAAGCTGGACTGGGCGAGCCTGGAGAGGGAGTTGCAGGCAGCCGTGGCTGCCGATGCCAAATACCAGCGTGAGAATGAAGCCAAGCTGCGAGCCATCACGCAGAGAGTGGGCTCTTACGAGGAGTTCAGGTGCTGGCGAAATGGTGCTGTTTTGTATACTTTGTTTTTGCCATGCTCCCTCATCACACGGGGCAGAGTGTCCTGGAAGTTTCGCAAGTTACTCTCTAGAATGCCTGCACTGACGTTTGTTGTTGTGTGTGTGTGTTATTGCTCTCACTGTAGAGGAGTCTACCAGTCGCCATTGACATGCAATTAATATATCATTTTAATATCATCATCCACGATATATCCACTGGGGGATGAAGGCTGACCAACACCATGTTGGTTATGGGGCTTATTTGACCGGAATTCACTCCACTGGTCAGTGTGGGTTGGTAACGGTGGCATAGCTGTCAACCCATACGGTTTAGACCCCGTATTCTTGTACAGGGAAATTGAGTTGAGATCCATACGGCGTACAGCCGTTTCAACACGGGAAAAAACAAATATTTGTCTGTATTTCTCCCTTATGATGGGACTTCATAGCATGAAACGTTGAGCTTTATAACGGCACGGGGTGACCAATAGTCTAGATTGGTCTGTAATGAGGTAGGCACTGATAAGGGGTTGACAGGTATGCAGTGGGGGAGCATAGACGTTGGAGCATAGTACAGTACGATAATGGATTTTTGTACACTGCCCTCTGCTGACAATCTGGCCTTGCAGCAGCCTAAGGTAACGGTTGCATGTAAGCTTGTTACGAGATAGAACACATTCCCAGCGATATGGCTCTGAGCAATGAACGTGTGCTAATTGACATGGGTGGGGTGGTAAGAGTCTGCAATAGACATTGCAATCCTCGGTGTGAATTATTCTGACACCCAGTTTGGTATCAAACTAATTCAAGAAAGCTGCAAAAAGTGAAAACCATGTTCCCAAAATTCATGATTGTTGTTTTAATTGAAAGTGAACACACTTTAGCGTAACTAAATTAATATAAATGTTTAGGAACAATAAACTACTGCCTCGACGTGGGCTACAGTATGCAATGGTTTGGTAAGTAACGTTTATGTTTGATTTAAATGATTTATAACGAAATACACGAACTAGGCTTCCTTTCACACAGGTGAACAATATATGTTCAGTCTGCAATGGGTCTATAGCCATTTTTAATTGACAAAAACACTAAATCTCTATCCAGTAAACATTACATCTCTATACAATCATGGGTTTATATTCTCCCCCCAGAAAATTTGATGAATTGCAACACAGCTCGAGGTAGCGATTACATTCCCAGTACATTCATTTACTTTCACATTACGGTGCCTTGTAGTGCCTCTAGGTGGGTCACATGTGAACCAAATACACACAATGCATGCAAAGCTATCGATTCTCACGTACAATTCCGTGCAAGTATTACAAGCGTAAGAACATGTTTTGCGAGCTTAAGAATATTTATTTTAATGGACAAATCGATGCGTCGTTGCACCCCTGCTGCCCAGGGACATTGTGTTGGCATCGCACCTGAGGCCCTTGGAGACGTGCGACAAAGTGCGACTGGGCGGGGACGTTCACGCACAGCGCTGGAACGCGTTCGCGACCACCAAGGAGGAGGGGAGTGATGAGTCGCAACATGAAACGCCACAGGTCTGCCCGTACGTGTGTGTGTTGAACTTCTTTCGCGCCGTACGTAGCCAAGCGTGCTAATCGGAGGTGCCGGGGGAAGGACAGCGAACTAAACACAACCGCACCGTTGGGCAGAACACATTCTTTTGGGTTGAACACATTCTTTTGGGTTGAACACATTCTATTGGGTTGAACACATTCCTGCGGAGGGAGCTGGTAGGAACGTAGGGTTGCTCGGTCAATGGCCAGGGTCAACGGCAGCGTGGTGTATTCCGCAAATATGCCCGACTGTGAGGGCGGGCACAAGCCGGCGTGAGTAGGTTAAACGTTGAGTTTTATAAGGGCATCACGGGGTGACCAGCCCCTCCCCACCCAGCCCCACCGCTCCCCACCCCCCCCACCCTCCCCACCCACCACCCACCCTCCCCACCCACCACCCACCCTCCCCACCCAGCCCCTCCCCACCCTCCCTTCCCCACCCAGCCCCACCCTCCCCACCCAGCCCCTCCCCACCCTCCCCTCCCCACCCAGCCCCTCCCCACCCTCCCCTCCCCACCCAGTCCTTCCCTCCCCACCCAGCCCCTCCCTCCCCACCCAGCCCCTCCCTCCCCACCTCCTCCCTGCACGACGGACGGACACAATAATCCCCTGTGGGCTGGTGTAACCAGGAGGTTCCTACCAGTATAATTTGAGTTTCTCGGGGTAGCTTATTGGTCAGAGTACTGAGGTGGCACTGCTGGGATTCTAGGTTTGAATATGGGCAGACACCCACGACTAAACTCGGTGGCCAAGTGGAGTGAATTGATGGTTTCAGCCCAGTCACTAACAACTGCACAAAATATACATGGCGTTACATTTGGGTTTTCACCTAATTTGGGTAAGTTTCACTTCTTAACACTTAATAGTTTCTACAGGGTATGTAACAGGTCAGATCCTCGTGTGGATAATGATGCCTTTTTTATGTGACCTCAGAAGTAGTTATGTGACGTTATCGTTCTCGGCCATGGAAATTGGAGACTGGACATTTGTTCATCGCATGACATGATGCCGATAGCACAATTAGAATGTGATTGAGAAGGATTTTTGTTTAACAAAGCTGTCCCTAAACATTGATTATTTATAGTGCTTTGCCCGCAAAGTTTATATATATTTAAAGTTTAATGTAACCTGTTTGTCTTCAAGACAGCTGTCGGACAGTTTACATTTCTGTTGGCAAATATTCACAGGGAAAACCACGCAACTTAAACACATCAGTAATGGCGAATGTATACAGTACACAGAAATGCGGTTCACTGTGAAGTCAACATTCATTCAGTGCACTATAATCCTCCACTCAGCCAGTTTGTAAATAAAAGAAAAAAATCTATAAACTAGTTTGGCATATCTGATTTGCTTAAACTTTTCATGTAAAACCAGGTTTAAGGGGATTCCTCAAAACATTTCAAATTATAACGCAACTCAACCTGGTATTTTCAAAGTTTCTTAGTCTAAATATTTATACTATTCCATGTAATAAGAGGGCTAGTGTAGGTTCAGATTGCAGTCCCAGGACCAGAGCATAAATTGGTACCACCAAGGTGACAAAGCCTTCGCAGTGCTAGTTTATTTTTGTATGATTCATAGCACTCGGGTTGCTCTGACCCGAAATGTTTTTCTGAGACCGCCATCGGCATGCTCCTTAGTCATTCACTTGACGGCTTGCTGGCCACGGAATCAAGCCCCTGCCTCCAGAGCGCGCTGACAGCTTCCGAACGTAAACTACTCGTATGCAATCGTTATCACATCACAAACCTTTATCGGTCCTATAAATAATTTGGCACCAATAAAATGTTTCCGCCGTGGGTGCCAGCGACAAGAGATTTATGCCAATCCTGGCCCATGAAACGCAAGTTCCATTTCCCCCGGCGACTCTCTCCATCTCCGCCACCCCCCCCCACCCCGCGCACTCAGCCGTCGAAGGAGCTGCCGTGTACGGCGCTCGAGTTCAACCGCGACTGGCGCCGCCGCTCGTCCCCGGACCGCTATGCGCTGCTGTTGCACGTTGGCGCGCGGCGTTGCCGTGACCTCTTCCGCGCCGAGGTTGGCTTTGGGCTGCTGGGCGAGGCGGCCGTCGCGCTGGCCGAGTGCTTCCGTGACGAGGACGCCCCCGTCGTGGCCGAGCTGCTCGGAGCCCTCGCCCAGACCCCGCGGTTCAAACTCAACGTGCGCCTCCTTGGCGGCGCGGAGTTGGAGGCCGTCCGGAGCCTCTGCCGGCGCTTGGGGTCGGCGTGCGAGTGCCGGGCCACGGAGCGATCCGTGCCCGGCGAGGAAACGGCGCCCGGGAGCGGCCCGAGAAACAACGACGGTGCTGGCCGACGGGAGGCGGAGAGCAGAGGCGTTGAGAAAGAGTTGGCGTCAGTAGAAGGGTGGCAGGCAGTGGGCGGGGGAGCCCGGGAGCTCACCGCAAAGTCGATGAACCATGAAGACTGCCTCACCTTCGAGAGCGTTGAGGCTCTGAGAAAAGCCTTTGGAATTGAGTGAGCATGCCAAGGATACAATGGGGCTTTTAAAGTTGAGAATTAAGGCACCCAATGGAAACGTTTGTTCTCCACCTACAGCTGGTCATCCACATTTCAACACGAGCCATTAAATAACTGGAGTTTAAAAAGAGGCATCTGCTGTCTCATTAATCAGTTTTTTTCCGTTTTATTTAATAGTTGATAACCAGTCCCCCTGTAACGTTTTGATATACCACTTTTAAATTAACTACAAGCATATAAATGCTGCATGCATTGGTCTGTAATGACAGCAAAATATATTAATTGAATTGTCTCTTTGTAGTTAATGTGCCTTACAAACCAGCCCTGTAGCGCCGTGTCTTCAAGAGTTCTGTGTTGTGGTCAAGTATAATTGGGGTTTTTTGTTTGAGTAATAAAGCCATTTTATCTCCACTTGCCATTGTTATATTTGACGTAACCATCTTTAGCGTGTTAAATATTTTATCATACAGAGCTCTGTTTAATCTTAATGAATGTAGACATTCATGCGAAGCTGCACACGGTCGCAGATGGTACGATGAATAATTGAACATTCCTGAGAACCAAAATTATGATCCTTAGAGCATGGATAAATTGGCTCAGGAACAAAGCAGGCCAACAAGTACTTTATTAGAAAGCTTCATTGATTTGTTTTACTTCCTGCATTAATAAAGTGGTACAAAATCTCACTGCACTGACAAAGTTATGCCACTTAGCTATCACAACCGGTTTATATCCAATAGTTGAAATATTTGCATGGATAAGAGCACCCATACACAAATCTGAATCCATGATATTTTCATCAGTCAGGCTCAACAATCTTGCAACTTTCCCATGAACCTCAAAGGCTTCTGGACATATCTTTGGGCTTCTATTTTATTGAAGACATCTGCCTTGTTTACCATTTGACCTATACAACCTTTCAAACGGCATGGGAGGTTTTAAGAAGTGTTGGCTCAAGGGAGCCCCCATAGGCCGCCACTCGTTGCTATGAGCAAAATATAAAGTGAGTCCATTTGTCCAAAGATACTTCACATTCTTATGAAAACTACAAAACCTATAAACCGATCACTCCGAAACTTACCACACAGCTCGCCAAACCATTACTGAGCCCTGTGTAGTTTTTAAGCAATAAAATACGTTTTTTTTAAAGAGCACGTGCTTACAATGTTTATGCTATGGGTCAGCTCGTTGACTAGTGCTGTAAGTTTGCACAGTTGCCATGTTTGTGTGTTTTCTTGTTTTCGTGTACACAGCCTTAGCACGGCCGGCTGAATCCTGTAACAAAAAAAAAGTTTAAGCTCTGTTCATGTACTGGTTAGCCAGCTTGTTAGCCCCTTTTGTATACGCAAATCGCACAACCTTTATAATTGCACCGCTCAACACAACCGGGCATTATAGGTGTGGTGTCAAAAAAACACCGCACAGCTCACACAAGCGCGTCTTTGCCTAAATCACCTGGAATGCGCCCCGGTCTCATCAGAGTCTCGGAAGCTGGCAGGGTCCGGCCTTGATCGCTCTCGGATGAGCGACCACCACATTCACTCCCCTGAACTGACCAGCACGGCGAAGAATGGCCAAACAAACCTCCACGGCGTGGAAGGCCTTCATCCAGCAGTAGCTTGATAATGTGCAGGTTTGCTACGTAACCAACACAGATGCAGCAACCAACAAAAGCAATGAACTGCATCTTTTCCCAAGGTTTGCTTCTTATTCCAATTGCTTTGCGGTATTCTGGCTTTGACACTTGACATTTCACCCCATCACACTATCAATACGGTGACAGAGAATGCAACAGGAAACCCCGCAAACGTGCACAGACAAGACTCGTTACAACCGCTTAATTGCCACCTTTTCTGGAATAAACAGAAGAGTGCACTTACAACGTTCGGTTTCGTTTCACTGCTTTTATTGACAATGATAGCTTCAGTTGACATCACTTGTTCCAGCTGTCACCAACAATAGTGATATTAAAACGTAGTCAGTGCAATACTTATCACAATATGCCCAACGACTGCACTGTACTCTGCTCAAACACGTAAAGCGCTCACATGCCATGGAGAAAAAATAACACGAACGCAAGTTGCACTTGAGCAAACTTAATTAACAATAATAAAAAAAATCATAAATTGGTATATATAAAAGAAAAACCCTATAATGAAATAAATACGCTTTCATTATATTACTGCCATATATAGCGAGTCTGAAATGGGTCGTTTTTTTACATACAGCAGCTGAAATGGTGTTGCAAATACTTCCATAAAAGCAGTTAAATAGTTAAAAATGAGATCTAAACACTGACTGCGTGGCTTCAATCGTCATTTACCACTCCTTCATTTAAAATTAAAATGTTCAGGTACCAGTCATTTATAAACCGTTGCTGATTAAAAAGAGTTTCACTTTCAAACGTACTGGGTGAGGCATAAAGGTATGTAGTTTTTTTTTTACATTACAGCATTTTTAAATACCACCACTAAAATAATTATGCTTAATCACCAATTCCTTTTGTCAGAAAACCAAAAAAGCATATTCATCCTTTTTCTCGATACTTTTTTTTACAACGCGACCAATTTCACCAATTACAAGGCGTCTGAACAGCAGTCGGTGTAAACAGTGATTTCATGTCATGACTAAAGTGCACCTCATAATTATGTGAAGTAGACATTAATAACTTTTTTCATGATTGGCAAACATTAGACACTGACTGCCAGTGTTATGTTTTCCTCAAAATTTCACAGTGGGATAAAAAAAAACGGTTTATTTATCATCATTTATACTGCACACTGCACAGTATTGTAACATAAAACATGAAACTCAATGGCTCTCACAAGGTTAAAGTTCAATTCACAAAATTGCCATTTAGTGTCGTATAAGAGTTAATTAAAATTTCCCGTATGCACAGCTGAAGGGGAATGAAAATGTGCATTTTATGAGCATCTTGAAAACAGTTTTCTCATGGATTCATTCGCCCCTCACCCCATTCTAGGAACATGGAATGGCCACCACTATCTCGGCTGTAAACAGCAAAGGGGGATCCTCCCCATGATCATTTCCGTGGAAACCACCCACGTGTCAATAGCATAGGCGTAACATAGTGGGCCCTGTTGATGCTCAATGAGAGCAGCATAAACATCTCAAAACAAGAGTGCACGTTGTCATAATACGCCTCACCCAGCACTCGGAAACTTTCTAAAATATTTCAAGTTTTATATTTAAAGCGCCCCCTGGTGTGCTGTCACTCCCAACGGTAGGTATTTCAAGATAAAACTCTATACATACCACACACGCCAGTAAATATTTCTATTTTTTTCCTTTATATATGAACACCACGTGGTTCATTATTACAATTCTATTTTCAATCGTAACATTATTTTGCAAAAACATTGGACGGCTCCAAAATAAGCTCAAGAGTGTGGATTTCTCACACAGTCTCCTTTAGAGGCAATAGAAATCCACAGAAGCAGCGAACAAAATGATTTGTTTAAAATGTAACCATGTGCAAGACTTAACCAGAGCCAACAACCTCCATAACGACAATTAACCCTACGCAGAGACCACGTCTTACTCTGAAAACAAACACGTGGACGCCACGACCGGATGAGCACTTCCGTGGATTTCTGGCCCCCATTCGTCATGCCTACCGCATCTCTCGCTCTCCGTTTTAGTTCGCAGCAGCGAGAATCGCTTTTGCACTCCCCGTGTAAAGCTCACGAGTGAAATAAATACCTCTGGCTCGACGTGCCGGCTGCAACAGTCATAGTTGGGCTCGGAATGGGTTTCTCACAATTAAACATCCTCCTTAGGCTTCGTGGTGAGAGGCAGCTTGTCGGGGCCGGGCTCGTGCTGCGCTTCGCACACCGCCGCCTCTTCATCCCGAAAATCTTTGGCAACCGGCGGCGGAGAAACCTGACCGCGCCCGTCTCCTGCCCTTCGCCATGTGGCGGGCGGCTGCTGTTCGCGCGCCGTGCCACCCTCCGGCGCACTTGCGGACGGCTCGCCCGGCGTGCCACCTTCCGGCGCACTCGCGGACGGCTCGCCCGCCGTGCCACCCTCCGGCGCACTCGCGGACGGCTCGCCCTCGCCCCGGTGCTCGTCTCCGCCAATGGACTGCCCTTCCCTCGAGTCGATCGCGCTCGGCGCCTCGGCCGAGCCGAGGGGCTCCGCCGGGAGCGCATCCACCTCGCAGACGTGAAGAGCCGGAGGGGAGCCCTCCAATTCTTCCGCTATGGTCACGCGTGGCGCCACGTCCTCTCCCGCGCAGTCGCGCATCGGCGCCGACGCGGACTCGTGTATCGGCTCGGCGAACTTTTCCGTGACCAGGGCGAGGGGAAAATCCCGCGCGGCGTGCGAGCCGGGATTCTCCCCGTCCTCGGGAGGCGAGGGCGTTTCGCCGAGCTGAAACGGCACCGTTGGCACTTCTTGCAAGGCGACGGTGGTGGTGGCGACGGTGGTGGCGACGGTGGTGGTCGTTATGAAGGGCAGCTCGGCGTGAGCTGTGCCCTGGTTTGGCAAACACGTCGGCGCGCACGCCGCCACAAAGTCGCCGTTTGAGAAAAGGCCGGCCATCGGCAGGGAGGAGGACGCGCTGGGGAAGATGCGGACGGGCGCACAGTCGGACGGCGGCAGACTGAACATGGAGGAGTCCAAGGCGTGGGGAGGCGGCGTGTCGCTGGCAACCTCGACCTGGGCGTCCGCGCCCGGCACTTGAAAAAACGGCATGATCCTATAGCCACCTGCTGCCGGGGAGTCCGGTGGCAGCTCCCCGTCGCTAGCGCCCGCGTGCATCGAAACTGCCGCGGGGCAGGCGGGAAAAAATTCTCCTTCCTGCACGATGGCCGCGTCACTGAGGAAGGGGTGCGCCATGTGAGCACCGCTGGCAGCCATCACGCAGCTCAGCCTGCGGGCACGCACGGGATCCATATGAGCAAAGGGTTCCCCCCACTTTATAGATCATAATCAGTCCTTTTTTTATCAATCCACGGCTGGATGAAGGCCAGCTCAAAAACTAGATGTATAGCCTCACGGGGCCAAGTTGTGGGCAGTCTAGAGCACTGCAGCAAACTCAATTGGCGTGCTGTACCACGCTCACAAGTCTACGTTCCTCACTTTCACCAAACCGCACAGACCGGCATGGGGGAAGTATGAATAACCCCCATGGCCCACGGGGCTTGAGGAGGCCCTCGACCAATCAGTGGATTGACAAAAAGGCTGTGGATGTAAAAAAAACAACACATGCTAGTACAGGATACACTCAAAGAGCTGCCATTATATTTTATTAGTGGGATACCCTGAGGCAAAAGCTGTGAGTGAGCACCAATTAAGCTTGGCGCAGGCCACGTGAAGTGGTGTGCACAGTTCCGTACAGACCATCTACAGTACTTATGGTGACAAGTCACAAAAGGTATTCACTTTAGTCTGAGTAAACCTAGGTGAGGGCGAGGTCAGGTTCAAATGCAAAGTACCACTGAGTCGCTGGGTTCACAGCAGTGCGTGAACAAGTATGCACTTCCATACACTCGACATGCACACAAATTTGTACACCAATTCGCACACTTGCACCCACACAAGACACAATCGCACTTAGACACACACAGTTGCATACATGTATGTACACTTATCCAAACGCTTAACAAACTCGACACACATCTGGTAATGGAAGTGTACAGTTCCAACCGCTCGGCTCTCATGCTCACACACACTCACTACACTCACTCCACACACATACACACGCTGCACACGCTCCACACACCAACAACAGCCGACATTCACCACTAAGCGGCGGTGATGTCACCACGGCGCTTGTGCCGGGCTAGGTGCACTGAGGCCACGTGAGGTGTCGAAGACTCGCGACAGGTCACAGACACACCCTCCACACTCGCACTATTGCACCGTCAACACACACTGCTCCAGGCTCGCGCACACATACACACACGTGCTCCACACTCACACCACACTGCTCCACACTCATGCACGCACACACACATACACCACTCCACACGCCGCTGCACACACCCGGCGACGTTGGCTGCGTCGGCTGAGAAGGAGTCTCCGGCGTCGGTGTGCGGCGGCACGAGTTGCCCAGCGTCACCCCCACCGAGGTACGGCACGCCTGCCTCCTTCTTCTCCAGCTCGAGCCGCATGATGGTGTGGATGAAGTGCGTTCGCACGCGCACCGGATTGAACTCGACGCGCCCCGACGCGTTTCCGCAGCCGTCCAGCGTGCAGCCGCACGGGAATGACAGGCGGTCCACCTGGCCGGATCACAGAGCCCATTCAGATTGCAAATTCAGAATCTTTATCTATATTGGAGGAATCCAGTGAGCTATGAAGCTTTTTTTCACATGTCCAGTAAGGGCCGGGTCATAACGTTACTACAACAAACAATACAAAACTGCAATAGGAGTGTAAAGTATAGCAAAGGTAAAGACACTTTTAAAAAATATACAAATAAAACTAACTATTACCGCGATATGCATTCGTCGATAAGAGCTACAATACCACGGTCATCGTCAAATGCAACACGCCATGCATAATCTGTACGCAATAAGCCGTTTTAATTGCTCCGCTTCCTCATTGGATATCCTCTCGGGTGTCTTCCCACCTTTGCCTGCCGTTACATCGTTAGTCTCAACCACAGGCCAAAGTCCCTTCGAGCAACGTGCTCTTGCAAAACTCAATTCTCTTATTCGTCAACTGTGTGTTGATTATGCATTCGTTCTCTGATCCACGAGGTTCCTCTTCTTTTCTCTCAGTGCAATTCCCAATATGCTTCTCTCCACACTTCATTATTAAACTCGGCACATGCACACTATTCAAGTCCAATTTGGGAATAATACACTGGGAACTAATGAGGCAAAGCTAAACTGCGTCTTCAATTATGTCTGATTTGTAAAGTAGGCCAATGCATCGCGATAGTCCTGTATATTAAATGCGCATTATAAATTCATAACTGGAGGAGTTGAATTAAGTAATCTTGTCTCGTGCTGACATGTATATACTGTCCTCCTTGAGGTCCTTTGGACTCCTCTGAAAAACAACGCAATGGTTTAGCACCTGTGGAATGCGGCCACCGCCTCCACTGAACACCTAGTGATCGGTGAATGACACCCCCCCCCCCGTATAGCCTTTAACCGATTGTTGGGACTCGTGTTGCTATCAAGCACCTATGAAGGCTGGCACGGCACACGAGGGAGTGGTTGGCCAACACCGCGCCCGGCCGCCTGTCATCTCCTCAATTCCGATGTTTACACACAGCACCGAGTACTCAATTTAGGCTGCATCGACCAAGGGAAGGACCCAGGACCGGTTTAGATATTTGTCACCGATGTTGGCTGTGAGCAGGGATCGAACTTGTATTCGCTGGTTCCGTAGCATAGTGCGCTAACCAGCACGTCACCACTCCCCACTTGTGTCTGCACGCAAGCACGCACGCACTTGGCAGGAGATGCCGGCCTGGCTGCAGCCACACGTCTCGGGGTCGCAGTGCGAGCGGCAGTCGCAGCCGCACTCCTCGCGCGACACGCGGATGGCGCGCAGCTGCTGCTTCTCGTCGCCGTCGATGCGCCGCACGCCCGACGCGCGCAGCATGGCGCGCCGCTTGCGCGTCGGCAGCGGCTGCAGGAAAAAGTAGTCGTCCACGTCCAGGGCGCGAGCGTCCACCTCCTCGTCCGGGATGTCGTCCACCGTTAGGCCGTGCGTGTGCTCGGGCTCGGCAGCGCCGCTCTGCATCAGCTGTGACGATGATGAAAATTATTCAGAACCAGAATACTTATTTTATTTTGATAATGATTATAATGATGATGATGGCACAGTCAGGATTACTAAAGCGGATGAAGGCACACACTTGATGCAGCAAATCTGGCTGTGATTTTATTGTTTTTATTGTTTGTGATTTTATTGTTTGTGATTTTATTGTTTTTATTTTTATTAATTTTAATTTTCTACCTACGTGACTTTACCAAAAGAACTAAGAGTATGCACACACGTGTGTTAAGGTCTGGACGAGACCTAGATCCAGAGACAAGTACCTACAGCAAGCTGACTGAGCATAGGGAATAACATCCAAAGGTGCACACACACACACACACAGAGATAGTGTCATGAACGCACTTGCTACACCGACATTTCCTAACCATCTCACAGTACAGAATATTTTTAAATCCTTTATATTAAGTTCGCTTGCTTGCTTGCGTGCTTGCTTGCGTGCTTGCTTGCTTACGACCGTGCAAATCTTTCGGTCGTTTTTTAACCCACTTCCCGTGATCCAATCGAGCTGACATTTTGCACACAGACTCGTTGTGCGAGACAATTAATGTTCGTGAAAAAAAATTCCCAAAATGTTATACTGTTTAGGGAATACAAATTAAATATTTAATTACCAATTGCTTAATACTGGCAGACAATCATCTGCCCCATAGGTGGCAGCCATCTCAAGCCAGAGGACGAGAGGACTCTAGCCGCCACGCATATAAAGGATTTATAGTGAAAAACTTTGTTTTTACGGGTTTACTTGTATGTGATCCACCAACCCTTGCCTGCAAAAGTGTTGGATTAGACATCCATCATTTCGTCCATGAACTCCACTATCCACTTTGATACTGATACTTGCATCATCACCCACACAGTGGCAGTGTGTGTTTTTCATCTATTACTGCAAATGCTTTTGTGGAATTATTGTTGCCAGTATGTTAGTCCACCCAGTTCATTGCTCAAAGTGGGCACCACATTGTTTGCTATTGTAATTATATTATGTGCAGTTACATTTTTTTGTTATACAGTCAGTTGGAGTGTAACAATTCGTACCCCCTAGTAATTCGCAAACATGTTGCGATTTGGGAGTCTTGATTTGATTCAAGAGGTAGCGGCCTCTAGTGGCTGGAGGGGTACTGTAAATACATGCATTTAATATTAAATAAATGAATCAGAAAAACATTTTACACTGTCTTGTGAGATTAAGAAAATATTTTAATCGACGCATCATTACCCCTCAAGGTTGTACACCAAAACCTTGCTCATCGCAGGAGTGACGTTCTTGAAAATAGCCGCAAGCGGAAAAAATCCGTGATCTCAAAACTTAAAACGCAAATACGAAAACTGGGGTATGGTACACCGGTCGTAATACGACACCCCCTCCTTTTGTTTTATGTTACCCTACATCACCCCAACCAAGAAAGGCGAGGGAATCAAAAACATACATAACGTATTGTATAGTATTGCAACACTAGAGTAAGAGAAACGGCACAGCGACATCTGAATGCCTCACCGGACGCTGAGAACACGTGAACTGGGCTGCATGGGAGGCAACATGGAGACAAGATGGCGTGTGTACGCTTCCGTGGCAGCATCGTCGCGAGCAGTGCAGCTAACAGTACAGTACTTCTTCACGATGCACACAGCTGTGCCCCGTGGTCAAGCGCGGATGGTCGAGCTACAAGGCCGCGATCGGCGAATACCTCGATGGATTCGGCGCGAATTTTCAAATCCGCAATGGGAAAACCCGCCACGGGCAAAGTTTAAGTGTACACCAACATTGCGTATGTATGTTTTCACACCGTACGTAACAAAAAAAACCGTGTCCTCTAAGCACCAGCCTTGCCTTCTAGGGATTATCACTGTTAATAACCACTTCCAATTCACTAAACACCAGCCCTCAACATTTACACTCCCTCCAAGGGTACTTTTACCATTTCCAAATCTAAAGCACAAAATATCTGACGATTCATGACTGTATGAATTGTCACGATTCGAGGCAAAATGTAATTCAAGAATAAATTCTACGACTTGTTTTCATCATCGTACTTGTATTGTTGCTCGTGTTTGTCTCATTCTGTAGAGTATCGTTCACCTCATTAGTTTAAATTCAACAACATTATCATTGAATATATTTTGTTTAAAATGTACATAATCGAAACTCCCATGCAGCTATTTGAGGCATGTATTGCAAGTTGAAAATCGATTCTGATCCGTCAATCGATGCATCATGAGATGCCTAGACAGCACATTTGAAGAGGCACACAGGTAAAAAGAAACATGAAAAAAACCTCTTTATCGCCGAGTACGCAAACAACAACTGGAGGCACAAACACAGGGGATATGAGACCTAAGTTAAATGCATCGCATCAAGGGATGTTTACAATTCTTACTGGAAAAACCACGCAACTTAACCCAGCAGGGCCACGCCAGCGTGTAATGTGCGCAGCAAAACACATGCTGGCGTAACCGAGTCGGTCCCGTGCCCGTATGCCCGTGTGTACGTACAAGGTCACGAGCACTTCCCACGGGAGTCGGCCTGACAAAAGCTGGCACCCGGGACAACTGTCCACATCTGCTTCAATTTCTGCATTAACTTCCACACCCCCGCCTCCACCGCCTGTGGCTCTGAGAATTACACGGCTCCGTACGCTGGCTTGGAGTCTTCACGACCTCTAGCTTTGCCAGCCCTGGCAGAAGCTGCATGGGACTAGGAACGCTGCGCCAAAAAACGCGGCGTATTTTGGGTGGGCAGGGTCGTGGTAATAAACAGCGTTCCGTTGTGGCTTTCCCTGTTAGCGTCACGCAGATTAACGTGACCTCTGGTGGTTTGTGTCTCAAATTAGCCGCAATCTGTAGATCCTGTAATATTGTATTTCTCTGCGGCGGTTTTCCCACATTTGGGGTATTTTTCCTCCCCGAGAAACATTTTTTTTTTTTATATCTCAACCGAACATATTTTTTCCCAACCTGAAAAGACAAGCAGTTTTCACGTCCCTAGAAATTGTATTTTGGAGAGGCATATTAGGAGCGTTAAAAAAGAACGTCAACGTGGAAATTGCTGCTGCTCTGAAAAATAGTTCTGCAGCCAAATGATAACCCTAACAACTTTGTTCCTAATCTCAACCATATCCATCCACTTGGCCTCATGTATGGTTGTGTTGCACTCATTATCACGCGCACTGCCATGTCCTGTGAGACCCTATCACCAAATTTGATCGGTGGCACATAAAAAATTAACTATCGAGACATGGTTAAGGATCAAAGTTACAAATCACATTTGCAAAATGTGGCTGTATGGAGCACGAAATCTGTTCGCGTGCACGGGAAATCGCAAAGCACTGAGAGACGTGACGGCTGGGGGACTGATACCTTCATCAGAGGCTCACGACCACAATGTTGATTAACACGTACGCTTTCGCGGCTAATATTATTCATAATAAAGGTTTTATGGGTTAGATCGCGGAAAAATAAATGTTGTCACGTAAACAAAACGTGCCAATTAGTTACTAGATCAGCACCCCGGTGTGTGACCCGTAAAACCTTTATTGCGAACGAGGACTCCCATGTCCCCAATCCTGCCGCATTTGCGAGAGCGCGGGGCGGTGGAACGAACCTGGAGGCGCAGCGCGTTGAGCCGCTCCTCCTTGAGGTGCTGGCGCAGCATGTGCTGGTGGGCACGCTCGCGCTCCTGGGCGAACTCGCCCAGCGAGTAGACGGCGACGCGGTCGTGGCAGCTCGCCATGCCCAGCGTGCTGCCGCCCTGGCTGGGCACGCTGGTGAAGCCCTGCCGCCGCAAGAAGTAGTACACCGTCACCTGGTCGAAGCGCACGTTCTTGCCGCGCGCGCGCTTCGACGCCGAGGGTCCCGCCGCTGTTGAGGAGGAGGACGACGACTCTGGGGGAAGAGAGAGAGAGAGGAGAGGGTGAACGTGCGGGGAGGGTGGATTGAGCGCCACAGTGACTAGGAGATGTTAACTCCCTCACCTTGTATGCAGGAGGTCGTGAGTTCGGTCCCGACTCTGATGAAGCTGCCACCGTCTCACAGTGTCTAGTGATGCAACGTTAAGTCGAGCTCCTGAATGCCGGCCGATCTGTGTGCTCCATATCCGTGTGGGACGTCCTCCCTGGCATGTTCCCTCCCTTGGCTGCCACCAGGGTGGTGCAGTGGCGAGATGTTAAGTCCCTTGCCTGATATGCAGGAGGTCCTGGGTTCGATCCTGACCCTGGCGATGCCTGTATATTTGGAGTTTGCATGTTCTCCCCGTGGTCATTTGGACTGGTAGCCAAAGGCAGCAATCAAACTCAAGTCCCCGAGTTCAAAGCACAGTGCGCTAACCACTGTGCTACAGTTCCACCGTTTGAATAGAATTTGCAAAAACTGAAAAAAATAATTCTTACATGCATAATTAAGTGCATGTAACCTTCATGTAATAATTCATTTTAATTGATGACTCGATTAATGCACCATTACTTGCCTCATTTTCAACATCATCACCATCACTGAGAGGATGGTAAAGTGAGTATGCAGGAAATAGTGTCTTATGGAGAGACTGGTCCCTGCCATTTAAACATGGAATTTCAGCACCACCCAATTATTTATTGTGCACGGGGGACACCCGAGTGCTTACAATAAATCATCACTCTTATGAGTAAAGGGCCACAAATATCCAAACACTTGTATCACCTCACCTAGAGGAGACTGCACCATTGGCTTTAAACCAGTTCAAACCTGGGACATGATTATTCCCCGTGCCAGCGAATGCTCCTTTTTGTTCAGATTTTTTTGGAATGTATGCCTTTGTCCTTACGAACAACAAAGGGGTAGATCGCAAAGATCGTTCCATTTCAGTCTTTTCATAAATATATATATTTTTTACCACCCCTCACTTAAGTATTATATCCTCACGCTATTTATTCCAGGCATGCTACACTTATCTATTATATAAATGTGAGAAAATGTGGCGTTTCTGAATTGCTCTGTCAATTTCAAATGACACTCATGTGGGCTTCGCGTGGTCTTAAAAGTAAAAAAAGTGCACTGCGCACAAGGCAACAACCAACTTTGGTTCCAGGCATATCTTGACAAGCGAACGTAATATAATTTAATCCGAGGATCAGTAGATTTTAGAAATTTAAGCAACAGCCCGGAAGAATAAAGCCACACAGCAGCAGTTGAGCTGTGTGTGACCTTAGCGTGGCATAAATTCCAGTCACAACTACATTCACCCTACGTGGTGAGGTGGGAATCGACGAGAGGCCATTTAGTGGAATTTCACATTACACCTAATGGAAGGTAAACACAGTGGGGACCAAATGCACTGTTAAAATAAAGACAGTGAGAAACACAAGAGATGATAGGGAAAAAAGAAAAGCCCAGCATGTTGACACAGATACAGGGCACGGATAATGAAACGTTTTACGTAGGCATGTAACAATGCACCAGCGCACAGGCGATTCCATGAATTACTGAGCTGGAATCACGATTCGACTGAAGAATCGATTGTTTCGTCTCATTTTTACCATCTGGATTGTTTTGCCGAGCTTGTACAGTTTGCTACATGAGCCATAATGTAACACAGGTATCTCATTTACATACGCTTTGTATTAAATACAGATAAAACGACTGTTTGGAAGAAGCACTGGCTGGTGCAGTGTTCTGCACACTGCACTCCAAATCCTAGCCACAGCTAACATTAGTGGCGAGTGATATATGATCCGCTCCTGGGCCTCTCCTTTCACCAGCCCACAATGACCAACCTGCAGTGTGGTCAAACACGGTCAAACAACAGACAGCCCTGTTCATCGTGGACGAAGGCTTCATTTAGCACCGGATTGAGAAAAGACGGTAAATATTTATAAGTACATCCTTGGACATTTTTCTTGGAATAAATTAATCATTGTACGTCCTGTTACACAAATCACGTGCAAAAAATCTACCATTGGTGCAAGCAGGACGAGGGGGGGGGACATCGACCGGAGGGAGGGGTCACTTTTTTCTTTATGGAGGGCAGAAAGAGGGCTTTCAAACATCTTTGGCAGCCCACACATAAAAAAGACAAAGATCCCCCATATAGCCTTAACAGACTGTAGGGGCAAGTACTGTTAGCGAGCACCTATGAAGGCCGGATCGGTACACGGGGGGGTGGGTGGCCAGCACCATGCCCGACCGCCTTTGTCTTCCCAGTGGCGATGTTTACACACAGCACCAGGTACTCATTTCAGGCTGAGTCGACCTAGGGGAGGCCAAGGACCGGTTCAGATAATAGTCACTGGTGTTGGCTGTGAGCGGGAATCGAACCCGGGTCTCCAGGTTCATAGCGCAGCGCGCTAACCGCTACACTACCGCTCCCCACATAAACACACACACACACCTCAGTCACTTCTGTCGCTGAAAGTGGCCTGTTTTCACGCTGTAGCTTTGGTATGAGACACACTTTCGTTGCCGGGTGTAAAATATTCGCCCGCCCCCTGTACTCGATTAGTGAAGATAAGATGCTTGCAGTCACAAATAAACATAGTTTGCGGCCTGTTTGGAAGCGATGTTCCTTGTGTGGCCATGGGCCATGTGAAGTGAGGTCACGAGACATAGGTTCCCCCCGCCCGTGCTGTACGGAGCCGTGGGGGCAAGTACGGAGGAGGGAGTCGTGGGGGCAAGAATGTCGGAGTGCGGGGAGGCTCGGGGTTCGTATCACACTCACGTGGGAAGAGTCCGTCAGCCGGGGCGTTGACGCTGTCCCCGCTGTCCCCGCTGTCGCTGCTCGAGAGGTCATCGTCCGAGTCCTTCGGGGATGAGAGCCCCGAGCAGCCCTCCACCTCCTCAAACTTCCTCTTCAGCACCTCGCTCATCTCGCTAATGCTCAGCACGCTCCTCCCTCCCTGCTGTGGCACGGTCGGGGGCACGTGCGGTGGTGGCACGTGCGTCGTACCTGGGGTGAGCGACGCGTGTGGCGTTGGTACGTGCTGTGGCAGTACGTGCGATGGCGGTATGTATGATTGTACGTGTGGTGGTGGTACGTGGGGTGGGTGGCAAGTGCGATGTGCGGAAGTCGCGCGTTGTTGCTGCTGCGTATTGGTGTGGCCCGCCACGTGGTTTGTTATATTTTTTGTGAGTGTTGTGAGGCGTCCGGTTGTAGAAGGAGATTTCGCGATGGGAGTTGCACAGTTGCGTCGTGTCATACGTGGCGCGCGAGTGTTGGTATTGTGTTGTGGAGTGATTTCGTATGTGTGGCCACTGAGTGAGCGGGGTATTGTGAGTGGGGGGAGGGGGAAAGTGTGAGGTGACGAAGACAGAAATTAAACAATTATGCGGCGTTTTCAACTCGCAGAGAAGCACGGTACGATATTTACAGGCCTATCAAACACTTTGGATTATTGCGACCACAATTACATGGCGCTTGGCAGGCCTCTGAAATAACAAAAACCCATCTAGAGTGTATCGATTGCAGAATGAAGCTTCATAGCAGGCAGTACAATGCAGGTCGGCCAAAGATTTGAAAAGATACGTATAGATTTTTTTTCTTCCCCCATCCTTCAAAATCCGCAGCCATTTCATGTTATTAAAAATCTCCAGCTGTGTTTCTCATGACGAATGTCAGAATATGAATCTTTATTTATCTGGAGGAATCCAATGGGCTATGATGCTCTTTTTCACAGACGTCTACATGACTGAAGACATGCTAATAATATCAGACCTTCAAATACCAAGAAAGGCTTGAGATGTTTCCGTGACGTCCACCAACAAAACCCCACACTTTTTACAAAACATCACTCAAAAGTTGGAACAAATTAATAAACACGCTTACAGTTGTATAAATAGAACAAGGCGTGCTGGAAGTGCTCGTGCTGAAATGAAAGCTCATCTTGTGCTCGGGTCACCTGACAGCAGTCGCCGAATTGATTCTGCGGGGGGGTTTTTTCAACGCCACAAACTAACCACAACCCTCCCCCAAGGAGGAGGCGGCTCTGAAAACCTAGAGATTAGCCACGGGGCATTTGAGCGAGCCAAGCGGTAATGTCCCACTGGCCACACTGCGCAAAAGAAGCCACCTTTGCGGACGATAATTCGAGATTACTGCCACTGTACAGTGTGCGGTGCTGGCAAGCGTCACACGCTGTTCCAGTCACGCCCATTCACCGTCAGCCCCACTCAGGGTTTATTTACACACATTACGCACGACGCACGCGAGCCAAACTCGCCGACATCTGCCCACGTGTGTTTGCGTGTGCTCTCTCGCTGTTAGGAAAATCGGGGGTCAAAAAGTTCAGAAGAAACACTGTACCGCCCCCCCCCCAACCCCCCCCCCCCCCTGCTTGGGCAAAAAACGACGAGTCGATTGACGTGTTTTGTGGGTTGTGTTTGTACAGGAACTCCCGGCACGTGGAGTAAAACGTCGGTCACGATGCAGACGAAGACATGGTACATCCCGAAAAGACATCGCAGTTGTACAGCGGCACAAGCGCGAAATCTACGCTGTAGTGACACCGCAATGCTATTGGAGGCGAGCTCCTTATCCGTCAATTTGCATTTCACTGTTCAGAGCGGCAAGAAAGGCAAATGTCTCTGCGGCCCTAGAACAAAGAGGGAGAAGCTTACAGGCAGATTCCCAGGTTACAGTTAACAGAATCCAACCACGAAAATCTGGGTCGCCACATAAACACCGATTAAAATTCATGCCCCGAAATATGGGGTTTTGATTTGCAAAATTATTTCTGGGGATGAGGTTATACAGATCGGCCTGCACAATGTTAATGCGTTAAGACTTGCGTACAAGCAATCTAATACCGCGTACAGGCATTCCCAGACTTACAAAAATGCCGAACTTACAAACAACCGCATTTACAAATGAGCTTCCATAAGATATTTATTTTTAACCATCCGACTTGCGAATGTGACTCGCACTTCGCATGCCTAACCATGGCACTATTTGGTTCGGAAAATGTATGAATGTACAATCTTTCTTATTTATTAATTTTAACAGTTTTAACAGTGCATTTAAACACAGTACATTATCGTGTTCCGACTTACGAACCGTTCGATTTTCGAACGGGTCTCAGGAACGGAACCTGTCTGCAAGTCGGGGACTGCTGGTACTCTAAATATAAAAACGGAAGCAGCAGTAGAGGTCGCAAACGAGTTTTGATTCCTTACCCGTACCCGGCCGCACCAGGGTCGCAAATGGGTACCGTACCCGTTCCCTACCCGTACCCTACCCGAAATGAGTGACAAACGGTTACTCACCAGTGACTCACGGCCTACCCGTACCCGGCCGCACCAGGGTCACAAACGGCTACCAGTACCCGTACCCGGCTGGGTACGGGTAGCCGGGTATCGGGGAGGGTACGGGTATCGGGTACTCGGTTGCGACCTCTGAGCAGCAGTGGCTTGGGAGTCAAGTGCACGGGCACTATGAATCCAGTGACTTACATTTGATGCCGGGCACGGCTAACATCAGTGGTGGTGATATCGGAAACAGGTACTGCACCAACCCCCACCCTTTAACAATCTGCACTGACCAGCATGGTCAAGTAAGGTCTAACCGTCTCCCTGGTGAAACGGCACGAGAAGGCTTTCATCGAGCAGTGCAATTTGAAAAAGGCTGTAATTGTGTACATGTGGGTAATTGCTCGATTACCTTGATTACGAGTGTGTATTAAACATGGTGAGAAATGTATTGGACACTGACGTACTTCCACAGATGGCTTCTACATTAGGGGCAATCAAGAGGAGCCAGCATTAAAGTTATAGTAGAAGACATTTTCTGAAAATTTGATTGGAGAAATAAAGGCACAAAGCATAAATCGAGACTGTGTTAACCTTAACCAGGTAAGGTTTTTATTGACAGTCAAAATGGAAAGATGAAGTGGAAGTGACCGGCCAGAAATGACTGAAAAAAGGGGCTCAAATAATGGGGAAAATCCAAAAATATGAGCGACTCAAAAAATATGAATCATACCACAAGTTCACTGAAAACTGAAAATAATTGAAGGGCCAAAGCTGGGAAACATAACAACGTGTCTAGACTACACCTAGGGCAGTTATTGAAGGCAAACTGGCATCAAAAATGTAAAATAATGAGGCGAACAAGAGCAGGCTGCAGTGCGTTTGAAATGTTTTATATGAGAATGAAAACCGGTATCACCAATGTGACGAAAATGGAAAGGTTTTTGATCAGTACATATTACCTGCTCTGAAACAAGAACATTGCCAAAAAAACAAAAAGTGAAAAGCACACAAAGCAGCATGGAGGGGTGAATGCTGAGATTTTTATGTTGGAGACAGAAAGGAGAACACGTGGATCAGAAAACATACAAATTTAAGACATCGTAGCGGACCGTTAAGTAAGTGGGCATGGGCAGGACATATCCTGCCAATAAATGATGGCCGATGGGGCGATGGATGAGGCCGGTGAAGGAGTGGGAGCAAAGGGCAGGAACGCACTCTGAGGATAACCACCACGGAGATGGAATTATTCGATTAGCTCACGTGCAAGATGGACTGTGGCATCAAGTGACAGTGTGGAGTGGCGATCATGTGAAGCCCTTCGTCTAGCAGTGAATAAAACTTAGCCGCCAGTGATTCAATACATGTGAATGATGATGCGACGGAAAAAAAACAGAAACCGAGCCTCGACCTATGGAGTCTTGTCATGAGGTCATCCTTGTGTGTTTTACTGCCATTGTCGTTACGTGCATATTAAAAATACCGCGTCTACCGTTTCAAACAGAACTGAGAAAAAATAGGCAGGAAATTGCAGTCATTCCAATTCAAATACTGTATGTAAGGAATATTCTGCAGAATATGTATGCACGCATTGCTGCGTGGGAAAATATTGCACTGTAATAAAATGCACCAACAATCTGCAAAAGTATTCACATTTGTCCAAACAGCTGATGCCCTTTTTCTCTTCACAGAAGTAGTCGACCGCAAAACTCCACTGACACGAAATGCGCCGGAATACCAAGAAAATGCCACACCTCGAAATCTGGAGTCCGCACACCTCGCAGCCCATTCCATCAGGCCCCACACGCAAGCAATATCACCGCCCAGGCGCACATGAACATGTTAATGGGCATCAAAGCGGCTCATGTACATGCACTGCCTTTGATGTTGTTTTATTATCTATTGCTGTTGGCACATATGGCTTCAACCCCGAATACTCATATCTCATTGGCAACAAAGTGGTAATGATGGATTGGCACAATAGCCACGGTCACAGTGAAATCAAACCATAGATAGGGCATTGCCACCTGTTTAACACAATCGTCATATTTTCAGCCGGTATTCATGAATAGACAAACGCCTCCATTCTAGATTTGAATTTTTCGTGACTACAAGGGTCCATACTCTTTGGTTTTTTCGGTAAAGTCACGTAGGTAAAAAAAAGATAAAAAGTAATTAAATCACGACGTTTCGGAGGCAGCTTGTGTTGCCTCCAAAACGTCGTGATTTAATTTATTTTAATTTTATTTTTTTACCTACGTGACTTTTTTACCTAGGTGAGTTAATTCACGACATTTCGGAGGCAGTGTGTGTTGCCTCCGAAACGTCGTGATTTAATTTATTTTTATTTTATACCTACGTGACTTACCGAAAAAACCAAAGAGTATAAATGCCTCCATATTTGAGACATTCGTCACAAACCATGAACCACCGTCACTTTAACCTCACTCACCTGTCACTTTGCTCACCGTGGTGGTACAACATTAACTGCATTTGTATTCATTTAGTTCTTTCGTCTTTAACAATGAACAATACAGTAAGTTACGTGCAAACGTTGTGCAACAACAAAAAAATCACTACAACTAAAATGACGCTACTGTATAGGCATTTAATTGTATTATCAAGAGAAATATTTCTTTACCTCTGAACTTGGCACGCAGCCATCAGCCACAACAAGAGACCTTTCGAGGAAAAGCTAAAACCGTA